GGGGGAAAGGTGAGGTCATTACATGGACTAAAGAGGCTGTCAGAGGCACCTGATAATGCTGACATCCGATCTCAACCTTAGTAACACTGTAGACCTTAGCAATTCAGCCTATGCTGCTATTAAGGTATCAAATAAACCATTCACTATAACCATACACTATTCAGTCTGTTTGCCTGCCTCTTCATCCACTTGATTGGTTTTTTAATGTGTCAGACTGTTTTTCTTTCTGTCTGTTTTTTGTCTGACTATATCTGTTTGACTGTTCTTCTCTCTGTCTCTCTGTCTTTCTGTCTGTCTGTCCATCTGCCTCTCTGTCTCTCTGTTTTTCTGATTGTCTGTCTGCTGCTTATTGGTTTGTCTCTCTGTAACCTTTTCAAGCCTCACTAAACATTCTTTTTTTGTATGATTATGACATATCATGACAAAGCCCTCCATCATTATACACTGTAATGTCCAGTTGCTGTAGTTACCAATAAATCTTGCAACTCCCTCTTGTCAGGTGTTCGATCTTGGTGCTGATGGTAAAAGTATGAGCTATGTTGCATCATTAACTCAGGACAAAATCACACACAAAGCAGAGTCTGCTGCAAGGTAGAACAGCCTATTTTTAACAACTTTCTAAGATGATTGTGGGAAAAAATTATATGGAATAATGGTTGATGAAAATATTTGACAAAATAATATTTGCAAAGAGATGATGTCACAAGGTATACCTGATATTCTTGGAATAAGTCAGAATAGTTTCAATATTCAAAATATTCATGTTATCTACCAAAAAGTTAATAATGATACTCAAACTTATCAGGTAGAAGCTGTTATCTTGATCTAACACCAAATTCTTGTAAGTCATATACAAAGAAATGTGCAGAAGTTAGAGGAGAGAATTAACAATCTGATCTTGGGAGTTAAAGGGTTAAAGTTGATATCTCATTACTGGAAAGTCCCACATATTAATTTCCTTTGTTTCTCTCTTTTATCAGTTTACAAAAATGATAAAACCTTTGACAAGATTGGTTGTTAAATTAAAGTTCATTAAGAGGTAGATTATAGAGTAAGGACAGGCTTGTTTTCATTGATCAAATCTTGTTTGTTTTCAGAACTATTGATCGCAATCAATTTAAACCCATTGTGCACATTGCACCTATTGCGAGGCACGAATCAAAAAGTGTTCATTTGGTTGCAATCACTCAAGCAGGTAAGCATTATAGTCTTGTTAATATTTTCACTCTCAGAAGTGATCAAAAATGGATTTTTCTTACATTATCCACAAACTGTCAAGTAGGAAAGTGAGTAGAAGAAATGTTTTGAAACAAAGTTTGATTGAACACCAAATTTTCAGAGATAAATTTGTAAGAAATATGACAGACAGTGAGGAGAATTAGATTTTTGATTTTAATGAGTGAAAGGGGCAAGTTAAGCTGTGTCTATAACTCTCTTGTGTTTTATAGTTGTTCTTCAAAAATATAATATGACACTTACACAGATTGATCAAAGGAGTGCATTGTGCCTTCCAAATATGTTGGTTTACAGTTTTTAGCAACTTTATATTGTTAGACTTTCATTTCGTGGGGTGTGTAGAATGAAGCTGAGAGCGATTTTTGATGCAACATCAATTTCTCCCTGTTTTTCACAAAGGAATACATGATAGTTTGAAATGAGAACTCAGCATTCCATCAGAAGTCACAGGAGGCTCTTTTTTTTTTTAGTTTTCAATATTGTTCCTGTTTATTTATAAAACAAGATAACTAGCATACAATAGTCCTGAAATGCAGTCAAACATAACAAGCAGTCAAACATAACTTTATTCTATGCCCCGTTCACACCAAAGCTTAAACACGTTTTAAACGATGTTTTGCTGGTGTGAATGGTCTTCCAATACAATTACTTACAATAAACACTGCCTGCAAATAGCGAGCTAATCTAGGCGGGCAATGTTAAGGACAAACAAACATGAATTACTAATTGAAGGTGTTAAAAAAAAGTCAATTTTGAATGCATTATTTGTAAAAAGAGGAAAAAAAGTGATAAAAAGTGAAGAAAAATGTAATTATAATTTATGATTGAATTGTAATTAAGGTGCCTTTTTTCAGAAATAAGAGTGCTAGTGTCAGCATAACTGTCCAGAGTTTCTAGAGTTTCAAATAGTAATGCTTGAATTTTCTTTTTGAACATGTGCTTTGGTAGTTTTCAATAGCTTTCGGGAATGCTGTTCTGCCATTAGCAACTAACTCTTGAGCACCAACTCGCTCCTCTAGTGATTTTATATCACGTCGAGCAGAATTGAGCAGTTTCTTAAGTTCTTCATTACTTTTCCGAAGCAATTTGACTCGTTGATTTGCCCTGCACCCCTTTATTTACTGGCCTCATTTCCTTTTAATTATAATTAATTACATTCTTATGGTTTAATCTGCCAAAAATGGTATTCAGCAAATACTTTTAACCTGAGGATAACAGGCAATTCTGTTCTCTGATTGTCCAAGTGAGGGTGGTGGTGAAAAGAGCTGCTCTCAGTGTTGCAAACTGATGACTGACAACCCCTTGGCAGAACTCATCATCATTATCATCTGGACTCAGATGATGACCTCCACCCAGGTTGTTGAGATGTCAGCCAGGGCTCGACATTAACGGTATAGCCCACTAGCCACAGACTAGTAGAAATTCAGTTTTGGCTTGTGGTTTTCAATTTCCACTAGCCAGTTTGGCTAGTAAACAGACTGAACTTGTCATAACATCTAAAAACATCTAAGATGTCACTAGCCACTTGGCTAGTAAGTTGAAAAGTTAGTGTCGAGCCCTGNATTGTCAGAGACCAGTGGATGGAGCCACCTGCTGTTGTCAAGCAGCATGGATCTCCTCAGAGATCATATGTTGCTTTAAGTTCTCAGGTTAGAGCATGGTTTGCCGATTTCTTTGTCCATTGATATTTTCCATAAAAATATACTGTCTCTCTCTTTTTGTCTGTTTTCCAAACATACGTTTTTATTTGGTTATTTGTCACTAAGTACATCTTCCCCTCTTGGAATCATTTCATGGCGTGCATTGTCATCAGGAGAAAACAGCAGAATTAATGCTCTGAGAGGTTCTATAAAACATCCCAGTGTTAATCCACACTTGAAGTAACTGGTTTATCAGATTACTTGGCTTGTAAGCTGTTGATGTTTAAGTTTTTATTACACACATCCAGACATGGGTCAAAGTTTGAGGTCATTTCTGCTCATCTGATTAAAATTAGATTTTGACTTTGATTTGACAGGGAAGTTATCTTTTTACAACATATCGTCCAGTGGAACAGCTGCGACAGTTATTGATACAGAGTCAGGGTTTTGACTCTGACTCTGTACATGCGTTTTTCAAGCTTTATAAGGTTAGTCTACACAAATGAATATTGACTATAAGGATTGGAAGGCTAACATGCTCTTTTCTTAAAACAACTCTGTCAAATAGACTGATAGATCATTTTGTAATTTTCACAGGAAGACCAGGCTTGTGCCACATGTCTTGTGTTAGCTTGCTCGACACAGACCTCCCAACAACAAGTAAGTCTTATTTCACAGTTTGCCAAATTATACTTGGTCGTAGTTTAAATAAAATTGCTAATTTGTCACAACTTTAATGTTGTGTTCAATGTCTGTATTATTTTATTTCACACATCTATAGGTTTACGACTGTGTTAAGGGTTTTAAGTTATGTGTATAGCTATCATGATATACCAGCAACCAATGGCATTGTAATTTACTTTGAGAATTTGCAGATTGCCTTTTGTCACTTTTTATCTTTTATGAACCTTGTATTTTTTTTTGTATAAGAAAAAAAAAATTAAAGAAAAATATTTTGTTCTATTCAGATTGCTGAATGGGCCACAAGAGCTTTCTTCAAATATGGAGAGTCAGTGTCACACCACCCCACCCCAGCTGGTACATCTGGACATCCCGCAGAGCCTAGTAGCACCCTGGGTGGTAGCTACATAGCTTCCCCAGGAGTCAGACAAGGATTCAGCAGTCCAGGGGTTGTGACATCAACACCTCACCCTAATGGTGTGGGGCAGGCAGTGGTCAGACCTGAGGTGATAAGATCCAGCAAACATGATGGACTGTGCATGTACTTTGCACGAATCCTTGAGTAAGTTATTTGTTTATATTTAATTTGAACTGGGTTTTATTTCTCAGATGTCTTCCTTGACTGGTTGATGTTTTTGATACCACTTATCTGTAACAATTGCTTAATTTGTACAAGACCTTTAGCTGTCTGTCAGTCATAGCTCAGTTATCATTTGTAAAATATCTTCTTACAATGTTTTGCCTGTTTTATGGTATGGTCCTAAAAAGAAATTAAATAACTGTAGTTTTCGTGGTGTTACTCTTTCAAAATACAAACCAGAAAATTGTTTTTAACTGTCTTCTCTTATTGTTGACAATCTGAGGTTTGGTACTCCATTTTCCCTTCTTTTAGAACTATTTGGGATTCAAGATTAATGTTTGAAGATTTCTTGGTTCCTCCTCCTTCAGAGCCACAACAGGTGAGAATAGTTTTGAATGTAGTTCTTTTTTCTTAAGTTCCAATAACCAAAAAAATATTGAAGAAGCTGTAAATATAATTTAAAATAAGGGGTCTCAACCAGACTAAAGTTCACTGTTTAACTCTCTCACTTCCCCGATCTTATTAGTAGTTCTCCCGACAGGCTGCCATGCAATTCTTTTAGTTAATTTCAATTCCACCCTTAAACTATTTGACTTTTCAACAAAATCTGATAAGTTTTGATCAATTTGTTTGTTTGGCAACAATGGTTTGATATTTCAAAATACTTAGTCTAGTAAATTCAGTTTTCTCAGCACAAAGACAAATAAAAGAACAAGTGAGGTTAATAACTTTGCATATATTTACTAATGGCAAAGTTTGATTTTGCAGCCAGTCCCAGTTTTACGGAGTGTGCTTAATGTTGTCCAACTTGGATGGATTTTGGAAAAAGTACGGCAGCTTCAAACATGGATGGAACAGAATATCAGGTTCTTGCTTCCAAACATGGAAGGGGGGTGAGAATAATCCTTCTTGTTCCTTCCTTTGTATTCACATAGTTCTTGTTATGTGTGTGCCGTGAATTTGTCAAGTAAGTCACATTGAACAAATTTTCTTAAGGTAAGTAATTTATTTTTTCTCTTCCAGTTTTCCTAGAGTAACAATGGGTGGTATGCAGCCATTTCTTCAACAAACTCATCAGGGTTAGTAGTTACCAATTTAGCTTTGTTTTATATCCTTTGCCATAAATGGTCAAACAAGGAAAAAAGGAATATACATCTAAAATGAAACTAAAACACAAAATGCAAATCTTTCCAATTTGTATTTTTTTCCTAAGAATAATTTTCAGTTTACCCATTAACTCTTACAAGTTTTTAACATGTGACTTCTCCCACTAACTTCCGTACATCATCCAGCAAACTGGTAATGAGAATGCTCAAACTTATCAGGTAGAAGTTGTTAATGTGATCTAGCACCAAATTCTCATAACTAATTTACAAGGAAATGTGCAGCAGCTAGAGGGGAGAATTTACAATCAGATCTTGTGAGTTAAAGGGTTAAGTGTCCAAAGTTAACTGAGACTTCTTTGGTTTTGTTCTATGCTGTTTTGCATGAGTTTTCCAGATAAGTTTTGTCTGCATGCATTTCCACCAATGAGGAGTTAAACTAAGATCAGTAGTTGCAGTTTTGATCACTGAGGTTTTATTTTCTTGCATGAAGCTTTTTTTATTGTGTTCATGAAGCCTTCTATTGTAATTTTCCTATTTTGTTACAGATCATTTTGATTACTTTGGTTTTTACTCCACTACTATAACTGGAATGAAAATGTAACTTAAGTTTGCAACATGTTACAGGTTCAGCTGAAACAATTAATGCAGAGAAAAACTTTATGATGAATTTTAAGTCACTTGTGGACCGGTCGGTGGAGATTCTCAGTCTGTGGCAAGTTCTTAATGAACACAACATGGAAGATGTCACACTTCGCCTTGATACTGTAAGACATTTTGTGTTTGATCATTTTTTGTTTCTGAACTGATCAACTACCAGTAGTTAACTTCTTACATCTATGGGTTTAAATGGAGGGGGAAGATTTAAATTCAAGCAAATTTTTCAAATTTAGCAGGCCGCTCTGTGATATACATCCTTATAGATTAACCAATTATAACACACGTGCTAACTGAAAAATGTGGTACTAGGAAGTAATTTCTAAGCTCGGTAATTCAAGCAAGTCTGGTTTGTTTTGTGATTGTTGTCTTTTAATTTCAGGCAATAAGGGATCGTTTAAAGCATGTCAAGTTTAGAGACCTGGCAACCAAGGAGCAGGAGGTATCCATGGCAATTGTGTTTGTTCAACCAAATTGAGTAAAATTTGTATAGACTTAACTTTGTTTATCTGTCACTTTCTTGGTCTTTGGCTATGGATGGCAAGGATGCTTTGAATAGTTCTGACTGGGGAGGGGGAATCATACACAAGCATGTTATTGGAATTTAGGAGCATATTGGGAAGTTTTCTCAGTCTTTATAATTACTATTATACCTGGAAAAACATGAGGATGAATAGAACTTTTTGACCTCCCTCCCTTGTCCCTTGGCAGTGCTCTTTCCTATGCCCTTGTCCCACTTTGCACTGTGGATAGAGGAGGAATGCATGGATATGTTAATCATGGATATGATTCCAATCAGGGGCATGGTTGGCAACTGGATTTGGGATTTGTCATTGCTGTCAAACTTTCAGAAAAACCATGAGCAGATTCTTATTCCATCACTACTTGGTTACAAAATGTGCTTTTCTGTTAATAATTCGGTTGGAAACTAATGTTACCTGTTTTTCCTGTAGATCTGCAGTGCCCTCATTGCATCTTTGATCAACTGTTTCCTGGATGACAGTGCCTCTACAGATATTATCAGTGAAAAGTTGAGGGAAGTCTGTCCAAATTTATTCAGCAATGATGATGCAGTGACTACAAAGGTACAACTTTATCAGGATAAAAACAGACTGTAAAGCTTCTCTGAATACATCACATGTTTTGAACCCCATTCAGAAGATTTAAATTTTTTTTTGCAACCACACCTTTGCAGAGTGGTCATTAGACAGTGGACGGTGCAAAATTATCTTGCTACTGCCCAGAATTCTCTAGCTTAATTTCCATGCCTTGAGTTACCTTTTTATTCAGAGGTGGAGAATATTCTCTTTGTACTTTACACTGTTCTTCTGCCACCACATTTCTTAACCCTTTAACCCATAACAACAGTATGCATATTCTCCATACTGTTCTCCATAAATTTCTTAAGGTGCTGATAAGGAGAATTTGTTTAACAATCAAGAGCTTCTTTAGTTGTTGATCATTTCCTGTTTTCTAATGACCTTGGTGTGTGATTCAGGGGTGATAGATGCTAGTAGTCGTGGTGGCTTCAAGGGTCGATGAAAGCTCTGCCTATTGATGAGAGATTTAGATTGATCTGTGTGAAAGTATTGCCCTTTGTTTAATTCCCTTTAGGCTGGTGAACTTTTAATGCTGGCTAAAAGAAGTAGAGACAAAGCCGAACAAGAAAGTATTCTAAAAGATGCTCTCCAAGTAAGTAGTAGCATATCTTTTATTCGTGGTTACCACACTTGGTTTTATACCATTTCATTTAGATTGGCAAAAAATTGAAGTTTGAATTTAAACTTTTTCCTGAAAAACTAGATAGGCACCCACATGCTTTGTCTCAAGATTATCCATGTCTAGATTTTACTTTTAACTTGGTTTAAAACAAATGCCAGATTTCTTGTTTCTGGTGACCATACAGTAATGATAAAATCGGGCCTCTTGTATTCATGTTCTTGTAGATACGATATAGCTCCCACCTCAACTGTAACCTTAACTTTTTCAAACCCTAACATCAGTATGCATATTCTCCACACTGTTCTCTATACATTTCCTAAGGTGCTGACAAGGAGAATTTGTATAACAATCAAGAGCTTTTTTAGTTGGTGATCATTTCCTTTAGTCTCGTAATCTTAATCTGTGACTCTGGGGTTTACATTGTAAGGAGAAATTAGATGTAGTCACTGTAAGGAATCAAAGGCTTCAAGCGACAGCAGAGGTTTAAAATAGAATGGAACAGGAAATCTTTGGAACACTCTTCTAAGTTTTTTTTCCTTTGTTACTGTTTTTTTTTTTTTTTTTTTTTTTTTTTTTGGGTAGTGTTATCGACAAGTGACCCATCAAATAAACCTGGAATTGATTTGTTCTTTATTTGAATCAGGTGAGATCATCTTGAAACTCGTTCAGTGATAGTAATTACAGAATATAGGGCCATTGAGGTCCATCTTGTCGGCATGCTTTGAAGAACGAGGCAGAAAACAAAAGGATGCATTGTCATTCAATGAGATGTAAATAACTGGCCCTGTATTTTATTAATTTAGTTTTTTCTGTTTTTAAAGTGAGATTCTATGATGGAGTCGTGGAGTTATCTTTGTATGCTGCACTCAAACGAGATCCTCAAGGACTGGCTTTACACTTCTACAGGAATGGAGAGCCACACGGTGATGTGCAAGGAAAGGAAGCGTTTATTGCCAGGTATTTTATCTTTAATCTCTCTCTGCTATGTTTCAGTGTTTTACAAGAAGCCATCTTATCGGTTTTGGTGCGAATCTGATGACTTGGTGGGAACACAGGTAGCCTGTGCAAGTACTTATTATTAGCGTCTCCTCACGAGCGTTTCTTGCCCGTGGGAACTGAGTACGAGGCCGACCACGAGGCTTTGAGCAACGAGAGCCGGCGAGAGGACTCATAGTGTTTTAACACTGATAGTTAGTGCCAGACCCCCGACAAATATCTTGCTAATCGTCGCAAATCTTCGCGCATCTATCAATTGTTTAAATCTTTTAGTTTAGGAATAGTTCGTTATGTTATAGCTATATTTATTTATTCAATATGTTTTATTGTTGTTTTTCTATTTATTTATTTATTTGTAATTCATAGATCATATTTATATCAAGAGTTTTAACCGATTGTTGTTCATTACTTAGTGCCATTGTTTTTGAAATTATTATTGTTATTTTTTATATTATTTTGAAACTCCTAGTATAGTTTTTTTTTTGCCTTCTTAGGACTATACTTATTAAAGATTAAAGATAAAGACGCGTGTAGTGAAGCGCTTACATGAGGGTCTCCTCCTAGGCTAGAACCCAGTTTTCACTCTTCCTTTTCTTCTCCCCTCAGGACCGTAGGTCGTCATTGGTAAAAACCATAGTGCAGACAAAAACGTCAGTGTTGTTCGTAAATATTCCCTTTGTTTTTCACTATTATATTAGACACATATTGTCTTCTTTTTCCAGGCAACAATGCTACAAGTGCGTTCTGGACTGTCTCCAGCGTCTTCTTATCGCGAAAACAGCTCCTTCTCAATCTCCCGGTCGACCCACACGGCCAGGGCCTCCTCCCGCCCCAGACCCCAATGCTCTGACACCGCATGATGCTGAAAAGCTTGTAAGTTCTTAAGAGAATAAGATCTGATTTCTTTCAGGTTTTAATGTAGCGTTTAATTTCCAGACTTTATCTTTTTCCTAGATGGAGGATGTTTTATCGTTTTCACTGTCTTACGGGGATGAATTATGGCATGTAGATTTGTATCAATGGTTGATTAACAATGGACTGACTGACAGGCTGCTGGAGGTTAGTACTATGTCTGTGTGCCTTGTTATTATTCTTAGAGTCCTTGCATTTTACTTTCTCCTTAACCATTATCCACTTGTTTTTCGGGAAAAGTCGGGCGCCAAGTCGCAATTAGTTTCGTTTTGTATCTAATTGGTCCAATATGTGGCGGGAGTTTATAAACCAATCACATAGCCGTGAAGGAAAACAGCCCAGTAGTATTTCTGTTGGCCCTCAGTTGATATTTTTCTCTGCCATGATGTTTTTGTTTTGTTTTTTTTTGTTTTTGTTTTTTGTGTTTTTTAATTTTTTTTTAATACTTATTCCTTTTTTCTTCAAATGAAGATCAAATCTCCGCACCTGGAGGTTTTTCTGAAGAGATCATCGTCACAGGATCAGCCAAATGAATTAAAGATGTTAGACTTGTTGTGGAAACATTATGAAAAGACAAAAAATTACTCTGCTGCTGCAAGAGTCCTCTCTAAACTCTCTGAAAAACAAAGGTAATCAAGTAACGTCAGCTGATATCAACAAAACAGATTTTGCTCACCTCCATCCTCATTTCCCCGTTCAACGTTGGTCATTGCAAAAGACAAACTCGTGTGGGACAAAATTGTTAGATCAGCATTGCTCTGGGTAAGCATGGTCAGAATTTATAAATAGAAACACTTTCGTATCCTTGTAATCAAGGTTTTAGGTCTCAGGGCGCTTTGTAGCAACTTTTATCATCAGTTTCTCAGAAGTCGCAATAATTTCGTTTGGTTGGTGGAATACGATGACATAATCACGCAGTCAGTCACGCTCACTCCCCTCTTTTAATTGTCCAAAAGTCATCAGTGTTATTGTTTATATTTCAGTCCTGATGTAACTCTAGAATTAAGATTGGAATATCTGGCTCGTGCCATTATGAGCGCGAAGAGCTGTAATCTGAGGACCTCTGGGAGTACTGACGGGGAATTCTTACACGAGTTAGAAGAGAAGCTGGAAGTTGCGCGTATCCAGATGCAAGTTTATCAAGCTCTTGTGAGGATCAACTCTGCTAATCCATCTAGGCGCATAGATCAAGCTTTGATTGGATTGAATTCTCAGCTCTTGGATGTCACCACAGTAAGAGTCTTGTTATTCTCTTTAGTAAATAAACTCCCAACTAGCATGTAGTTTTCCGTTAAGTTATTGACGCATTTTCCAGCAAGTGAGCAATTGTTGTTTTTGTCATATGATTGGTTAGCGCGCTGTTTTTCATCTCTTTTCAGTCCACTCTCGTTCAAATAACTCGCTTTACCGATTCATCCTCTCTTTCCTTCTGTATAGATCATTTATCGTAATTTCAAGTTCTACAATCCCCTCGTTCGATCTTCCGTGTTCTCCGATTTTCATTTCTTCACACTTGATAGTCTCCCACGTCGAGGTCTTCCCCTAACAAAGAATAATTTTGTTTTAAGTGGCATATATCTAAGCCTATTATAATTGACATATGTCTATTACTTTTTCGCTGTTAGTCTGAAGTTCTACTTGTGCGATTTTTCCGGTGTTTTCTCGGAATGGAAATTTTGCTTATTAGTATGGACTAACTTAATTTTAATCGTCCTCTAGCTGTACGGAGATTTTGCTGATGAGTTTGATCTGTCCGAGTGTAAACTCGCCATAGTTCATTGTGCCGGACATTACGACCCAACCCTGATTGAGACACTATGGAGGGACATCATAGAAGCTGGTCAGTAATTTTTTTATTTTTTAAGTTTAAGGCTCTCGAAGGTATCGCCATGTCTTGTTTGGAAATAGCCAGGTACCTGTAACCTAAATAATTAATTATTGAGAAGTAGGTGAATTTTCCCAAGAATTACTAAGAGCTCACCCTACGTTTGTCTTCTTTAACAGAGCTCCGTGATTCACATCAGAATCCTCCCAGTGATCGTATGGCAATCGTCAGAAAAAAGATATCTTTCCTAGGAAAGGTTTATGTCCACTCTGAGCGGTACTTTCCATTGGGTAAGTCATTATGTCACGTGTCACGGCCAGTGCGTGACTGTCACATAAATCACGCTTTAAATTTTTTTCTTACCTATTTTGTTGTGTACTCTTTCAGGGGCCATAATTCTTATGCTGGAAAAGAAGAGCGCCGAGTTGGTCTGGGACCCAACCTGGGTGTTTATGACCATGTTAGAGATTGGTATTCCATTCCCCGTGTTACATGCCATCTATGACAAACTGTTCAAAGCCAAGGTAATTCAATATATCACAACCACATTAGCTTAGGGATGAGTTCTCATAGGATCTTCGGATTAATATTAGCAACTGTATGTACAATCTAGTATACGTTATGAACCCAGAATGTGGCCCATCGGGCTTCCTGTGGCTCATACTTTTTTCCCCGTCCCGCGTTCATAAAACATTGAAGGTCGATTATTTGGAACACTTGTATAAGGAATGGGAGGAGAGGGTGTGCACAGGATGGAGTGAAAAAATTGAACAGAAGGTAAATTATTGTTTACTTTAAGTGATATTTGTCTGTGTTTTTAAGGATCAGTGTTGGCGAACACTAGACAAGCCTATTCACATCCTTGAAGTTATATATCACTTGTTAATGAAATTTGTAAACACACCATCTATTTCCCCACCATATGAGAGGTAAGTGCATGTTTTTTATCAACTTCAACTTGAATGTAACGTTTATTGTGTTGTTTGTGTTCCCCAGGCCCTTCGCAACATTTGAGTTATCACTAAAGAGCTATTTCCTGACTTTTGTTTTCAGACCAGGAATAACAATCGCACTGTACGACGCATGTGCCACGTATCTGGTGGAACTGCAGTCCTGTCTTTCACGTGACCCTAGTGTGCAAAACACGCTGGCCAAATTCCAAGGATTGAGGGCGTGTCTAAAGCGTCTTTTGCCCTAAATGACTATCTTCGGTCGGAAATCGTGCGTTTTATTTGCGCTTTTTAAGATCTCATGGCCGAGTTCTTTTGAAAACGCCGTGAAAGAGGGTGTTCAAGCCTTGAAAAAAGTGTTTCTTCGTAGTGCGTAGACTAACAAGCTATTTTTAAAACATCCGTACAGTTGTAAATAAAAGTTTAGGTGAAGTTTTCACAATGAACTATTTTTATTTGCAATTTTGTCATTTGTGGGCGGGGGCTGGCGGGGAGATAAAGGAAGGATGCGAATTCTTACCACCTTGGACAGAGGTAAAAATACCTTCTAACGGTAATAATACACTGCACCAAACAGGCTCTGTTTGTGGTATTTTTCTAGAACTTGGGGAGGGGTATTGTGTACGTCGTGCATTTTCCTAGTTAATCATCAGTAGATCTACAAATTTCGTCACCGCTTTTTTTGACAGTGTAAAAATAACATTGGTAAAACGTCGGCCAGTGTTGTTGTTTCTCTTACGAACATATGCAGAGTCAGTAACCTAAATTAGGTATTGAAGTATGATGATAGAAATAAATCAATGTTTACCTACGATCTACTCGAATATTGTAAACATGGAGAACTCTAAGTGACCTGTTACTTTTGTATGAGTAATGCGTGAGTAAATGACCCCATGCATCCCACACCCCACCAATTTAGCGGCGTTGTCGCTGTCACTTAATTGTCAGCGATTTTGAATCTTGCTGCGTTATTCAAATCTCAAGGGTGCTTATTTTTATTGTTATAAAAGCAAACTTTGACAAATTTTATTTTTCACAGTCAGATCCAACTTTTTTTTTTAAGGTTGTGGAGATCTGGAATAGGATTCCATGACCCGTGTATTCTCCAGATCTCAGTATATTATAAGTTCTCCCTTCTGTCTGCATTGCATTTGTTGCACTTTTAGCCTAACAGAACTGAGATCTGCGAATTTGGTTTTAAATCGTACGATGTCTGAAAGTAATATCTTTATTCTCATTACCTATCCGCCTGGCAGTGGTTTGAAATGGAATGAAGAAATTATTTGTTGAACATAAGGGTGAAAGAGATATGTTTCTTCGTGAAATGAGTGATTGTTAGGGTGAAGTCGTAAACTTTTCACAATAACCTGAATACGTTGCCGTACCCAACTGTTTTCATATTTATAGTTTGTTTTCGTTTTCAGACTCCGCGATATGCAATATTTACAATTTTCTAAAATTTTATCACTCTTAGTTAGAAAGAGAGAAAGTGAACTCTTCTGAACAGCCATTTCTATCCCACTGTCTGAAATATTAACCATTTCACGCGACACTTCTTCCGCCCGAGTACATCATTTGGATTGATAGTCCGAAAGTCTAATTAAACGAAAATACTACGACCGTTATCCACTTTTGGAGTCTTACATACTAAATCAAGAAATCAGAAAGTACCAAGCAAGGATCCTCTAGTCTTTTTGACATCTGAGTTTGGTTAAATTTCCGTGACAACTTGTGATACCAGCTGAAAATAAGTCAACTCCGTGCATGCGTATTAGGAACAAGGCAATATGGGTCTCACGGATTATCAGTTTGACAAAGTGATGTCTAAATAAAACTGTTCAGAAAGGCGCTGTTTTGGTTCTTTTGTATCCTTTGAAATATTAACCGCCTCCTAACTAAGTGTTGGATTAAATGTAGGCATAATTACTGATTTGGTCTCCTACTTAGCCGGTCACGAAAATTTAGATCTTTCGGCTTAACTGTATTTTTACTTGTCGAGCTTCGTGTGTTTCGTTGGATTTTCTTTGACAATGTTCCATCGATGCTTTAACAATTTCGCTCATCCTCTTGCGTAGAAGAAGTCACTAAGAATTATTTGCGTTGGTATCAGAGCTGTGCGCGAAAGATAAACATTTTAGTCACTTTAAATACTGAGGCTTCCGGCCTCTTGACAACGACTTGCCGAAATTGTTTGTAGCATGTCGTTTGCCACGTTTGCACTTTTTTCAATTTTTTGTCATCATTTATAATCTATTTTTCTGACTATGCATTTTCCAAAATCAATTGCGATTTGCAGCCACGAGAAAATACCTACCAGCAAGGTTTGATAGGTTAAATTAAACGATACCTCTAAGAGTTACGACAATTTATTCTACGAGTTAAATTAAAATTCTACTTAGTTATTCACTTTTATCAATAGATTGTCATCTTAGGTAACTCCTATTTTTAAATCGCTAAATATTCACAAAAGTCTTTTTAGTTTCCGAAAATACAAATGAATGTGTCCATTTTGTTTATTTAGTTTTCTTTATGATATTTTCATGTCGGAACCCTTGGTAAAGTTCCCTTGCCTTTTAACCGACGTCGAGAAAGCACACTTCTAACACTATTGAACATAAAATTAACTTTGTGTTTTGCCGAAGGCTACATAACGCCTAATAAAGAGAAATTTCCCTTTGGCGCAGGGACTATTTCCAGGTATTGGCGGTGTTTTTTCAGTTCCAAATGATATTCACACGGTGTGATGCCGTTAATGAAATACATCTTACGGAAACTTGAGGGAGGCAAAAAAAATAAAATCACCTGGCCCTTAGTCGATTGACGCTGTTTGATCTTTTCTTGGTTGCATGCTGTCTTCACTCTTCACCTTATACTAATTAAACTTTTCCTCATTTCGTATAAACTCGAGCCGAATTCAGGCACTATGCTCCGCTCAATGACTTCGCAGATAGCGTTTCGTCTTCCTTTGACGCAAGCAACTAACTGTACCTGATGTTTTGTCTTTCCTTCTCCTCTCACCACGGAAGTGGTTGATCCTCCGCGAGTTTTAAAACGCACAACTTCCTCTGCTTGCACGCAAGGCGTACTGTAACATCGGGACTTTACAGGTCCAGTTTTTTGTTTCGCAAAGTGTCGTAGAAAGCCAGCTTTAGGGTCAATTAAACCCAAGTTTGTATATAAATTTCCTGTCGTCTTCGTTTTCACATTTTCACCCCAGGTTTGGTGCCTCTCAATTCCAGGCGATTCTTCGCCGTCCGAGAAACTCTTAAGTCGCGTCTGAATTCGCCGAATTTTGTACTCGCTCCTTTCATCGGCCTTAATCTCATCAGTTTTTGATGACCGGACTTTAAAAGTTTCACTGTCCAGCTTCATTTTAGCAGTTCGGTAGGAAGAAGTCTTTGTACCGGCTATGGTTAACGACATATCGTCAACTGTTTGCATTGTGAGCCGGTGTTTTTCATTCCAGTTGTCAGCCGATGATTCTGGGGTCAGATTAGTCGTCACGTTTTCTATCCTGGGATTATTCTCCTCCTTAACTTGGCCGACAGTGTTTAAAGGCTCCGCACGGTTCGTCCCCAAACACATTTGATCTTTCTGAGGCGGTCGCGTATTTACTGAGGTATTATTCCAAATCGACTCCTTCCCTTTTCCCGAGCATCCTCTTGATTTTTTCGGGAACGCTTGTGTCTTTTCATCGAGAGGTTCAATTGGTGGCAGCTTTGCGAAATAATTTTCATTTTGTGTGTACTCTTTTCCACCCAACTCTGAACTTTGTAATTTTCTAATTGGGGGTAAAACTTGCTTCTTTGTTGATGTTGAGCCGAGCGTTTCCCCTCGCAACGAACAAAATCCTTGGGCCAGTGGAGCGCTGGATGATGTTTTACTTACTCTTGCGCCCGTTTGATGAGATCCGGAAACTACAGTTAGACCTGGAGTTGCTTTCCAAGAAATCTGTCCAAATTTCGCATCACGATGCTCAGTTGAGGACACATGAAACCGGTAATCCTCGGCTGGTGGTCTGAAGTTTTCACCGTTGTTTTTCTTCATCTCTTCGGCATCTCTATCATCCAAATAACGGAAAATGTGCGTAAATATCATTCTGTAAATGTATTATACTCCCAGTGGCCAACTCTTCATCAAAATAACACAAAAAAGCTCTTCCGCAACGGCGAGATTAGCACGCGTTTCCAGTCTAACCTCCCAAGGCAAGATTGGATCAGACTAACGTGTGTGGATTATCTTGTATCACTTTTCTTATTCCTTGTAAATTTAGCGAGGTGCCGCGTATTTTCTTTCTCGGCCGCTGAATGGCTGTGGGTCGTTTATGTCAAACAAAGACAATCAATTATTGATCTAAACCTTAAATGCTAAATATGGCTGCAGAAGCTAAATGGTCGTGAATGTTTATATTTCACAACCCAGATATCGGAGGCGCGTCGCTTATTTTACGTGCATTGACCAACGTAAACGACTTTGATTTTTTTCTCCTCGTTTCGACATAGAGAGATGGACCCCAATCATTTCTCTGAGGCTTTAATATTTCGCTTCTTTTTCCCCTCGTGCACCTGGTGAATTGACCTGCAGGTGAACTGGGGGCGAAAATTTACGGCAGACCTTACAGGGCTTTTACCAGTGAAGCTTCTTAGCTTCAATATACATTTTTGTTCTTCGGTGAAATAAAAGGAGGGTATGAAAACGAAATGAATTAAAATTTTGTTTCAGTGTATGCATGTTAAAACGCATGACGGGCGATTGTGTGATTCGTGAGAAACGTGATGTTCGGAAATGAATAAATTTGCGCGCGGGGCACTATACACAAGATTGAATACCAAGGCCACAACAAATTGGTCATGGAAGTTTCTAGATGTTAATGAAACCCGAGTTTGCTTTTCAGGAATAGGGGAATATTTTGTATCGTGTTTTTGGTCCACCTTGCGAAAAGAGGTCGTGAATATGTAAATCTAGTTTTAATCTTCTAAGCTTAAAAATATACATGTACCTAAGACAAATATTTCCTTTGATTTCAAATTTTCCTTGCCGTTAACCTTTTAAAGCCCAAATGATTTCTAAATTTAATATGTTCTTTACCTGCTTTTTATTCAACATATAGTTATTACTAAGCCAAAGGAAAAAAAAATCGCACAGTTTTCCTCTTCTCGAACGTGATGCACCCTACCGGAACTCCGAAACTCCGGAAAATCCTGACCTTTCGCTAATCGGCATATAAATCGATCAGTCTGCAAACGCAGTTTAGTATCAAAATATGTTTCTAACTCCCGGATACTTCCAGTTTCTTACAGCAATATCCCGAAATATTTTGTTTGATATCAGGGTATCGCCAAAACACGAGGAAGTGATTAATAAACCAATTTAAAACTGGAAGCGCTTAGAGCCATTGTCAGCTATTTTCTCTTTTTAGTCAGCCCACCTGAATGTCATATGACATAACGACGACAATTCCAAGAGCCTCGTGCACTTTTGTGGGTTTGTTTTGTCTCATGATGTTCATTAACATTGTTAAATTTTATATTTGAATTACGGGGTATTTTTGTTTTTTCAGCCCTCTCAGCGCAGATTCGCACGACGTTCTCTTTGAGAAAAATTAACCTTTTGTGAAAGCCCAAGTTACGACCTCCTACACACTTATTAGGTAATTTTATTTACGCATTTAGGAGTAATATGGATGGAACCTCCTCCCTGTTTTCGCCTACATAATTTATTCTGTGGAATTCATGTTCATTTGACTAGAGCAATGAACAAGTGATAAGTGATAAGTTTTCAATTCAAGCAACGAAAGAAGTACTCAAACAAATTTCTTTTTTCGTCGTATCCTTAATTTATTTTGAGGTCATTAACACTATTATTTACGCAACATTGAGGCACTCAAACCGTCAAAAATTATGAATGGAGACATACGAGTGGGAAACAAAGGCGGTAGTGACGTCACTGTTTTGACGTCATCTGTAGGTACAATAACTGATCCTAGCGTAATAAAAAAAGGTTGTTAATATTTAATCAGACCAGGAGAAAAATAAACAGAAGCCTTTAAAAATCCAGGAATCATTTGAGGTTAAATAAATAACCAAAACTGGAGTTCCTTGCGATTTGAGAATTTCCAGGAGTCCTTCACTTCATAATATGACAAATATCTAGTTGCCATAAATTCTAGAAAAGGTTTTTTTTGGGAAAAATTTGGTAATCATTGTATTCCACTCTATTCTCATATGCTTTCACAAGAAATTAAAAACAGCAAAATTAGAGAGGAAAACCCATATTACAGATTGAATATAGAATTGAATACTTTTTCCTTTCGTGGAGTTCTTTGTTAAAAACAAATTCCAGCTGAAATGAACTTCCAGGCGATTAGTTATTGCATTAAGAGCGGTTTAATTCTGCTTTGTTCTTAGCAAGTTTTACTTTTGACCGACGTTTCACCCTCCTAAACTGCCTTTAAAAATGCACAAGTTACTTCAGACCGGTGTTGGTTCAGAGGTAGTTATGATGGGGAAAATGTCTGGTATTTCCCCTGTAAACTCGTGTTCCTCCAGATCACGATAATTGAAGCTTTCCTCGTCTTTTTCTTGAACCGGATGCTTTGCCATCCTTTTTGTTCTTTGCCCCAGTCTCTTTCGTCTGATGTAGTATACGCTGATCGCTATGACAATCAATACTGCAACTACTACGAGCACTATGGTAACAGTTAGGACACCATGCTTTCCTGGACCCGAGCGAGCGCCCTCCAAACCTTTTCAGGGAAGGTAAAATCCATGTATGAATTATTTCATCCTCGGCGCCTATTCTATGCAGAACGTTAAGAAATTCAAAAGTTTTTTTTTTTTTCTGGCTCAACTTGCTTTCTATCACGCTTATTATTATCTTTCCATTAATTAGAGATGACCTTAAATGGAACACTCACGTTGAATATGTGACTGCCAAGGCAGCTAAGAAATTATACGCTCTAAGGTTGTTGAAACGCGAAGGAGTTATGCCAGAAGACATGCGCAAGGTATGGACTTGTAATATCAGATCGGTCCTAGAGTATGCTGCGTAAGTGTGGCAAGACATTCCCGCATACCTCTCTGGTGCTATTGAATCCATACAAAAAAGAGCCTTAAAAATTATATTCCCAAACTTTAGTTATCAACAAGCCCTAGACCAGGCAAAATTGTCTTTGTTGGTAGATCGTAGGATATTCGTTTGTAAAAAATTGATGGCGGAAATGAGGAATGAAGACCACCGCATATCTTTCTTAGCTCCACAAGCTATGATAAGTTCTATACCTTATCAATTAAGATCAGGAAATACCAAAGCTACAACAACAATGAAAAGAACAAAAAGAGCAAATGACTTTTTTACTTTTAGGTACTCGTAGACTAAACTATTATTGTAGTACTTAGTACAATTATTCTAATTCTTAAGACTTATTATTGTAAATAAACTTTACTATTGGTATCTAGTAAGATTCTTTTTAATATCCTTGTAAAATTACACTGTTTATTCAGTTTTTTAACTGCCAGAAGTGTTAATAAACTATCATCATCATCATCATCATCATTCCAAGGTCTGACAGAGATACAAAAAAGGTTTTATTTGTATCCCTCTGAACTACTTATGTTCAAATGTTCGCTTAGAATAGTTAATATGGGTCACTAAAATTTAGTCACTACCTACTGTGCTATTGTCTTGGGGTGGATGAATTTATTTCGTTGATTATTAAATTAACCCTAATACACAACACTTACCTTTTGATTTTGTCATCGTGAAGTTTACACTGGCACTTGCTGTGGCTGCTGTAGCTGCTCTGCTCGTCTTTTCTTTAATAGAACGTTCAGTAAAGAGACCATTCAGTAAAAACGCTGTGATTTCTATTGGTACGATTTCTCTCTTACTTTGCGCGCGTCTGTGTGAACAGGCTCACGCATCTGCGGTAGCTGTACAACCGTCCGAGATCTTATAAATTTCAACACTTCCCTCTAACTGCTTTACATTTACTTGTATATAAGTAAAGAGAATATGGTGCTACATCAAGAAAGTACGTTCTAATCGATGAGCTTGTCTATTCTCAATAAATGATTGTTGGATAATTTATTGATACATGTGTATCGTCTAGAGAAGATACCTGTTGATCACGTCTGAGATTTAAAGGCTCAATCATTGTAAGATGTCAATTTTGGGGAGCTGCCAAATACAGGGGCACCAATTCTACGGAAGTGGAAAGGTAAATGTTCTAAGAACTGAAAAAGACCGCAATGAGCGTATCGAAGTTAACTTAATTTCTTTATTTTGGGTTCACATGATCCTAAGAGTTTATATTCCTCTGCGGTTTCTCGATATTAATCTAAGATTATTATCATTATGCTAGCCAGGGGCCACATGCAAACTTGTTACCTGAAGTTGTCGGTTGACTTGTTTTCACAGGAATTGTTATGGGCCGTGTTGGTACCGAAGCAGCATTGTACGCTATAAAACGTAAGCATGAGATCTCATTATCATTATAACCTTTTTC